CTGCCATTTGAAACAGTATTGATGGCAGCCGTGGTGAGAAGCTGCAGAGGTGGGGTCTGAGCTGTTGACGGAGGACACCTGAGACCCAAGCCTCGGAGATGTTTCTCCCTCAGACTCTGCCCCCACCAGGGCTGCCTGAGAGTGTGCACTTTGGGTGTGGGTGTTGGGGAGCATTTACCATAAATGAGGGGGTCTAACCAGAAAAGGGACGGTGCTGAAAGAGCTGGAGCAGCAGATCAGATCGCCAGGAGAACCACTCCTGTTTTGCTTCTGTTTACCTGGGGAGCCAGATGAGTGTCTCTGGGGCTGCCCTGGGAAGGGAGCCTCAGTGCCCTGCCTTGTGCCCCATGGTAAAGGCAGCCCCCAGCAAGCCCGTCACCGAGGGTCCCGCTGTCCTGTCTGCTCACTGCTCTCCATTGACCTCGTGTGACAGTCTCCAAAGACGGCCCCCATGACCTAGGCCTCCCAGCATTCATGTCCTTGAGAGTGTCCCCCTCCTACACCAAATCCAGGCTGGCCCAGTGTAACCAGTAGAAGGTGATGGAAGAAACAGTGTGACTCCCAAGGCTGAGATAAGAAGCTGGGTGGCTTCGGCCTTGGTCCCTTGGGATGCTCATGCTTGGGACATTCCCTCTTGGGACTCAGCCCCAAGCCCCCACTTGGGAGAAGACCAAGTGCCACGGAGAAGCCACGATGAACAGTCTTAGCCAAAGCGGCGTCCGCTGCCCGCCTTGGGAGAGAAGGCATCTTGGCTGTCCTCCGAGGCAGGCTTCCTCTGGCTCCAGCCCCAGCCGTCGTCTGACCACAGCTACATGAGCGACCACAAGCAAGAGCCCCGCTGGGCCCGCTCCGCACTCAGAGCCACCGGGAAGCATGCTAAATTATTGCTCAGAGCCACCAAGTTTGGGGGAGTTTGTTGCACAGCAATAGAAAACTGGGACAGCGTGTGGCCGGATGACCGAGTGCGTGGAGCTGCGGAGGTGGACTGGTTCCCCGAGTTCTGGCTCTGACTGTAACTCTGGTGCTCCTGCCAAGTTCTCTGGTTTGCCCAGGGCCCAGTGGAAGGAGAGCGGGGATGGGGGTGACTCGCACGTAGGCTTCGCTAAAAGGTGCCAGAGGCTGACGGGCCCAGAAGTGACAAGGGACAGGTTGACACATGGATATTTGCCTTAATGTTAGGAGAACAGGGCAGTCGGGACCTGTTCTTCTCATAGACTGACGGCCCTCGGATGGGGCCCTGCCTTGTGTGCGCTTGCTGGGCCCGTCGCGTCCCTCAGCACCATGGCATCAAGTAGACCGGGTCTCCCTGAAGGAGCATGTAGGTCAATCCGTGCTCTGTATGGAACCTCACTGAGGGACCAGGAAGTAGAGGCAGACCCTGATCCCTGCCCTGAGAACTCACAGTCTGATGGGCGAAGGACAGAGTTTCATCCTCAGCAAGCCCCAGGCCCGCTGCAAGGACTCAGGATCCAGGGTGAGAAAAGCTATGCCTCTTTTCCCTTTTGTGTGCTTTCTTCATATGAGATCATCAAAGGTAGTGACGGGGGGGCGGGCAGGCCTCCTGGTACTGAGAAATCTTTCGAGAAGCCTCCCGTGCCAGCCAGGCCAGGCCAGGCACCCTAGTGCGACTGCTGCCTTTGCCTGTCACTCAAGTGCCCGGGACGTGCAGGGTCCCCCAGAGAGAACGCGTGCCACGGCCCCTGGCCTCCGGGAGCGCTCACCGTCGACACGGCGAGGGGTTGACAGAACCCACGCAGCCGGTGCCGCCCGAAACATCGCTAGCCCCAGACAGAGCAGAATTCAACAGAGCTGCCAGCCCTGCTCTGTGAGAGGAAGAGGAGGTGGGTTTGTTTAAAACACTCCCATTACAGTCAGTTAACCTTTATGTTTCCTAAATGAAAATTGTATAAACCTGAAAATTTCGTTGATCAGGTTGCCTAGGAACAGGCAGCAGGTTTTCATAAGACAATGCAGTAGATTGTCACCGATAGGGCTATTAGGAAGTGAGCTGGTTAGTGTATTATTCCAGATCCCGGTGTTGGCGTTAGGTAATTATCTGTCTGCCTCTGCAGAGCACACACCCACCTCCCCAGGCTCAGGCAGCCTCTTGCAAATGAGGCTTCTCAGCCTGCTTCTGAGTCCCAGGGATGGGATCTGGACTCCAAGAGCACAATGTCAGCTCTGGGCTTCTGAGAGAAATCGAAAAGACCCAATTCTGATGAACTTATTTCTTGAGAATCACCCCACCTTGCTTGCGACAGTAATGCTCGAAGCGAAAAAATTGGAGGAATAAACAACAACAATAGAATGCAAAATGGAAGTAAAGAACAAACTAAGACAACTTTGGCGTAATTTTTTAGTACTTTTCCCCTATATGATATATACACTTGTTTATTTTCCAAAGGCACTGTAATTTGCTTTTTTCCCCACCTCTTGCAGTTAGGGTGACCAGCCATCCTGGTTTGCCTGGGACTGAGGGTTTCCCAATACCCGCGTATGTTGTTATCAGCCTGCTTCTCCGTAGCTGTGTAGCTTTCAATCAGCTTGGATGAGCCAAACTCGGCCTAACTCCCTGTTCTTGGACATTTAGGATATTTCCTGTTTAAAAAAAAAAATTATAATTAATGCTTGTGGTGAATAGCCTCATCCCTGCAGGGTAAATCCCTGTAAGTAGGATTTCTTGGTTGCAGGAAGTGTATATATTTATGACTTTTGCTGTTTCAAAAAGCACACATTTGGGGATGTATGCTTCTTTTTTTTTTTTTTTTTTTTTTTTTTTGGGTCAATTTCATCATAGCAAAAATGCAAGGAAAAAAATCACTAAGTCAGCTAATGTCTTAAAAATATTAAGACCAGAAACTCTTTCTGTTTTTCATCCTTTTGTTCCTCTGACATAGGAATGAAAGCCCCCAATACTATTTCTCTCTTAGAAGGTCCTAAAACTAATCAGGGGTGCTTCCTGTTGGAAGTGATTTTAGTACCCTAAATATCCATCTTTAATGTTTTTTTTGTGTGTGTGTGGTACGCAGGCCTCTCACTGTTGTGGCCTCTCCCGTTGCGGACCACAGGCTCCGGATGCACAGGCTCAGCGGCCATGGCTCACGGGCCCAGCCGCTCCGCGGCACGTGGGATCCTCCCGGACCGGGGCACGAACCTGTGTCCCCTGCATCGGCAGGCAGACTCTCAACCACTGCGCCACCAGGGAAGCCCCTGTATGCTTCTTTATTAGCCATTTTTGAATTGCCTGTTCGAGTCCTTTACCCATTTCTCTGTGGAGATGCTCATCTCTTTCCTTCTACTCTATAAAAACTCTTTGTATTAAACACGTCAGTCATGACTGTTGAACCATTTTGTCCATTTTTGTAAAGCATGCGTGGTTATCATTCTTTAAAGAGCAACAGTAAATACTTATTATCCGGCGTTTTTGAAGAAAGAGGAGTTAATATTTGAGGTAATTAAAGCTTCCCCCTAGCCTTAAGCGCTAAAATATTTTTTAATTGAAGTATTTGGAATGAGAATACCTCCATAATGGATAACCCGTGTAGGTCCTTTTTAAAACAAAGTACACTGCACACAACTTAACTTTTTCTTCATCTCTCAGACATGCCGTGAACAATAGTAATTTAATGTGTGATAGTGACCCTCAGCGCTGTTGAGCTACGTGAGGTTTTGGCTCCTATACTATATGGCCCCAGATTGCTTTTTAAAATAAGGTACCTGGGGCTTCCCTGGTGGCGCAGTGGTTGGGAGTCCGCCTGCCGATGCAGGGCACGCGGGTTCGTGCCCCGGTCCGGGAAGATCCCACATGCCGCGGAGCGGCTGCGCCCGTGAGCCATGGCCACCGCGCCTGCGCGTCCGGAGCCTGTGCTCCGCAACGGGAGAGGCCACAACAGTGAGAGGCCCGTGTACAGCAAAAAAAATAATAATAAAATAAAAAAATAAGGTACCTGATTCTCGTCTTTTCCCATCACTATCAGGCTGTCGTGCTCTTAGTTCCGGCAGCTTTAAGCAGTCCTGCCTTGCTCTACAACGTCCCATCTTCATCAGCAATGGGACTGATTACTGGCCAACAAGGCTTGTTAAGTCTATCTGTAAACTAAAAGCAAGTAAGCGCCGACCAAGGGCCTAAGGAACACTAGTAATGACAGCGTAGGAACTTCAACAGGCAGCAGTTTTACTCACTTCTTAGGGTTTGTATCACCTGTCATTAAGGTTGTTACGTAAATGACTTCTGGATGTGAGCAGAATAGGATTTAGAAATTTTGGAGGCAGAGGGGGAAACAGAAAGGAAAGATTAGCAACCACTTGAAGACATAGCTGCAAAGTGAGAAACCGGTAATCCACGTTTAATCTTATTACTTCCCTCGGGAGTGTGCTGGGGCAGGTTTTATGGAGACGGTGGCATCGCTGACCTAGAAATTTTAAAAATCCCGGCTTCCGGGCCTGCGCCTGCTGGCATATGGCTTAGAGCTTGTTACACAAGCCTTCTGATGCTCAGTTTTCTCATCTGTGAAATGGAGCTAAGACTAACTGGCCTGTCTATTTAATGAGACTTCATAGCAAGTGGCCTGCTATGAAGAGTCACTGACCTGATGGAGCCTGAGAGGAATGTGTAAACATGTAAAGGGCTGAACGATAATGACGGATTATTACTATTGCTGTTGTTATTATTCACAGACGCATCCAACAGCCATCGCCCGCCTTCTCACGCCTTCTGCGCAGGTTTCAATTTGAGCAGCAGCCCACACCTGTGCATCTTCAGCTGATGTCCTTGCCGCCCCTCCAAACCCAATCTCATCCTTGTAGGTTTCTGCAGGATTTGCACAAGTGGTGTGTTTTCTTCAATATTTATTTTGCAGGCCATTTACTCGGCATGACTATTTTTACAGCGAGTAAGGAGCAAAGCTAAAAATAACTTAACTGGTAACCAGATCAGTTCTGCATTTGACATTTACATGGAATTCATTTGCATCTCATTTGTTCACCTTTCTGTTTAACAGGTAGAATGTAAGAAGGCTCAGCCGAAGGAAGTCATGTTCCCACCTGGGACAAGAGGCCGGGCCCGGGGACTGCCTTATACCATGGATGCTTTCATGCTTGGCATGGGGATGCTGGGTGAGTCTGGGCCGGACCCTGGGGACTGGGTCACCTTCCAGTTGGGCAAACTGCTTTACCTGTCTGAGGCTCAGCTTCCCTATCTGTATATGAGGGTGATAATCCCTCTTACAGGACAGTTGTGACCATTAAATTGCAGAGATAGATAGATAGATAGATAGGCAGACAGCTAGATAGATAGGCATCTTGCCCCATGCCTGGCTCATAGAAGGTACTTGATATTATTTTTTCCCCTTTCCACTCCCTTTTTTCAAAAGGAGGAAAAGTTACTCTCTTTGCCTCAGCCCTCTCTGCTGACTGGGAGTTCTTAAAGACCTATGGACTCCTGGCTGGCTTAACTTATGTGAGCCAAGGCTACATTTTCTAAAACTTGGGAGAGGAGGGGATATGGTAATGGTGGGCGATAATCCTGTCTATTTAAGTGATTAACATTTTTCTCTTGGGATATCAAATTTGTGTTTAAATGGATGTCTTAAATAACCTGTTTTATTCTTCATTTGCAAAAAAAAAAAAAAAATGATGAAAGACAAAGTATGTTTGTTCTGATGAAAAATGATCTCTCCTGGCTTTTAGAGAAATTGAGTTGCATATTATGCCCCTTCCTTAAAGGTATCTCTGTCCGTCCTGCATAGATAATTGAAAATCTTGCCGCTTAAATGGCATGAAAGATGGAGAAAGCAGTGGAGAAGCATAATGGTGTGGGTCGCAACAATAATTAGAAATTTCAGGGCGAGAGAATGGTATTTTAGTGCAAGTTATTGTGTGTCAGGAAAATACTAATTAAATGGGATAAATGGTAGTTAATGGTAAAATTCCATTCAGGCACACGGTCTGTCTAGTTTTAATGGGTTTCATTTGGTTTGGCTAAGAGTCCCTCTTCTATATTGTTTGATAAGCTCTTTATGTATTTTCAGATTTGCTGCTGTTTAAATCATTCTTGGCTCAGTTTTAAATTTATAAAACTTTTCTTGGCTTTAGAATTTAGACCTTTAAAAGAATTGTATCTATTTGTCTGAGGAAGTAACAAGGTAGGTAAAGTTATTTTGAGGAACTTTAAAAAATGGAAAAGGATGCCATGAGAATTCTCAAAATGGCTAAGATGTTAAAGCTAATTTTTTAGCTTTAACAGAGTTTCAAGGAAAATTCCTATTGTAATTCTTTAAAAATTGGCCAAATGATTCTAACACTTATCTGGAAGAAGAAACACATGAGAATAAATAAGAAAATTTTTTAAAAAGAGAAGAGTTTGACCAAATATCAGAACATAGTCCAAAACTATAGTAATTAAAATAGTGTGGCATATAGGAAGGCACCTGTTGATAGAAAAAGTTAAGGAGCCTAAATTAAATGTGTTTCTATATATGAGTTTAATTATTATAAAGAAATTAATTTTTAAAAATCAATGAGAATTATTTCCTGGTTGACTATAAGACACTTGTGTAGCTCTTGCTCTAAAAATAATTTGTATGTGGCCTTTACCTTATGTTATATACCAAAAGAAACCCCAAATGGATTAATAGTTCCAAATTTTAAAATAAAATCTTGAAAGAGTTGAGCCCATTACTGCCTGCTGGCTTTCAGAGTCTTGAATTTTAAATGATGAGTATAAAGTCCCTAGGGCATCAAATGGGGGGGCTTTTTAGGATCCAGATCTTCAGGAAGTGCCCCCACCCTTCTGCCTCTCACTTGATACCCTTTATGTGAGGTATCATGTACCCCATGGTTTTCTCTGCTTGCCTGGGGGAGGTTTTCTTCCTGGGGAAGCAGAGGTGTGGAGCAGAGCCAGCTCACTCATGTCAGTTGCCAAAGAGCAAAGGTGCGGCAGCTTTGTATTCTCCCCAGATGCCAAGCAAGGGCTCGGGGCTCCACAGACCAATGGTTTCATGATGGGAGCCCAGGCGGGTGCCTTGTTGACCGCAGGAGGCATTCAACAGCAAATAGTCCTTGAGCACCTACTGCATTCCTGGCCCAGGGCCAGCACTGGGAGACAGTGCCTAACAAGGCAGATGTGGTCCCTGCCCTCTTGGAGCTTGTGGTCTAGTGAGAGAGGTGACGTTTAACAGCTCATCACACGGATACGTTATTACTCATAATAGAGAGAGTTGTGAGGTGCTTTATGGACACATAATGAGGAATGGAAACTAGTTGGAGGAATCAGGGAATACCTCCCTGTGGAGGTGACATCTCAGCTAGGATGAGAAGGATGAGCAAGCCAAGGGCCATGCAGACAGAAGAAATAGCTTGGAATGCGAGGGTCCTAGTGTGGAGCCCCGAGGGCCATCAAGGCTGCTGCTGGGCAGGTCCAGGCAGCGCGTGTGCGAGGAGAGGTGGTGGCCGAGTGGCTTGGACCACAGTTGGTGGTGGGCAGACCCACATGGTCCCCGTGCTTCTCCAGATGCCATCTGATTGGTTCCTGCTCTTTGAGGGATGGAAATGTGATGGATGCCAGGTGCTCACTCATCTTCCCCGACTTTGTTCTCTCATGTTTCAAGTTATGACTTCCCTGAGCTGCAGTAAAGAGGTAGTAATAGCTGGTTTAAAATGTCATTGTGGTTGAGTCTATTAGTTCTTGAGTCATAGCCTCCCCCAGTTCATCCCCATCCCCCAGTTCATCCCCATCCCCCATCCCCTTGCTACTTAAGGGTTTGGCCTTTTGCCCACGTAGCTCTGGTTGAGGCTGACACCAGGCGAAACCCCCATGCCCCAGGCAGGGCCCCTCAGGTCACCGAGGCTCTCCTACACCCCCAAGCAAGCAGAGAGCTCCTCGGGTGGAATTGATGGTGTGGGTCCGGCTTCCACCAAGGCGGGCTGTGTGGACCACAGGAAAGTGCTCAGGACTTCAGAATCGGGAGATCTGGACTTCTCGTCTGGTCAGCTGTGTAACTTTGGAGGGACAGTCTTCTCTGTCCTTCAGTTACCCCACCCATAGGGATATGGGAACCCTCATTTCATGGGGCTGTTGAGGATAAATGAAGCCGTATCGTGCCCAACTAGTGCTGTATTTTGTCAAGTTCAAGCTGCCATGGGTGGTGGAATGCACCTTGTGTACCATCTGGAAAGAAAAAATATATACTGTTAACTAAACCACATTGTGAGATGGATCCCACTTTCAGGATGTTAAGATGTGAAAAAAAAAAAAAAAAAAAAGTGTGTCTTCTAATCAACAAAATACAGTAATATATACTCAAACTGGGAGCTGTTATTAGTAAGGTACTGGGGAACCCCGGGCAAATTACCACCCAAGTAGGTATCCAACACCCTGCCACTTGGGATCCCTTCCTGCCGGTGACCGAGAACATAGCTAGACCTGCATCTGTGTGTGACTTGTGCCATGGCACCTGCAGCCTCCTCCTTGGACCCCCGGCCAAGGGAGTTGGATTATCTTTGAATTTCTACCTCCCAACAAGATCTGTGCACTGGACTCCAGCCCTCATCAGCTCTCAGCCCTCCTGAATTCCCCAGCTACTATGTTGAGGCCATCTAGATGCCTGCTGAGACAGGGCCTCCTGAGAGGTCCCCAAATGTGTGCCCAGTTGGGAACCAGCTCAGCCTGAGGTCCAGGCAGAAGGGGGAATCAGACCACCACCCAGGGAACAAACTCACAGTCTCATGATCTGGTTGGCCTGTTGCCTCCCCAGCCAGGCTGGGGTCTTCACCGAGCTTTCTCTGATGCGCTCGCCAGAAACTCCCAGGGCTGCCCTCTCTTTCACCCACTGGCACAGTTTGGCACCCTGGGCCTCTGGACTCTCGGTCGAGGAGAGTGCCATATGCTGTGCTGTAACTGAAGCCCTTGCTTCTTGCTCCTTCCCTTAAAGTGATGTCACCAATGAAGTCTAATCCTTTGGCAAGATGGCCTGACCCGACTCCATTAGTCACCTGGGTCACCATCTCTGTGGTGCACTAGGCCTGCATATCAGTCCTAGAATCACCACCATTGCCACCACCACCAGTTTGGCTAATGAACCTGGCTCACACAGAAACACTTTTTGTTTTAAGTTTGTTAATGAGATGAGGTTTCAGTGATTTAAGCTTTTATTGCCGAAAGGGCAGAAAAATGCATAACACCCTTAGGGATTTTTAGAAGTGAGACTGTAAACCGTTAAAGCTTTTAAATCCATTCATTCAACAAATATTTATTGAGTACCTCCTAAGTGCCAGGCATTGTTCTAGATGCTTAGGAGGCACCAGAGAAAGAAGTCTGATATCGGGGAGTAGACATCCTAGTGAGACAGCAGACACACTGGTCTATAAATGACTTGGAAACTGTGGAACTAATTTTTAAATACCCTTTAAGATTTTCTCCATACTTCGGGAGGTCTCATCAAAGGGAAGCTGATGAGCGTATAGCTGCAGTTATTCTTTCTTTCTCTCTCTTGCTGTGGCAGCAAACGTTCCTGGGAGGAGACCTACAGCTGTTTTGGTTTTAGCTTTCATAGCCTTTGACAGAATCATCAGCCCGATGGGAATTCCTTTAAGAAAGTGTACAAGAGGAGGAATCATCCTTAGGTCAGTCTCCCTGCCTTTGAGCTCGACAAAACCAAAATCAACTAAGACCCTTATAGGAAAGGTATTTTTGCAGCTCTCGGACTTTGTTCGCTGCCCCGCCCACCCAGTGCACTAGAATCTCTTTGGTTTTTCTTAATGAAAGTGGACTTAATAAAAGCAAACATGATTATCGTTGATATATCTGATTCCTCTTGGCCTTCTCAGCCGTATAATCCTACTGCCTCCAACTATCTTGACCTCGCTGGGCACACACTATTTAACATGTTTGGTAGCAGTGATAGAGAAATACCTCATTGCTGAGGCTTTGGAGAAAAGCTTCACCCTGCGGGCCCAGAAGTGGAGAGACATTGCTGACCAGCTGAAGAAAGCCAGAGGCACTCTTAGCAGCGCTGTGAAATCCTGACCCGGTGTTCCCCAACATTAAGCCCCTCGGAAATGAAAGCAAAAAAATATATATTTTTTTGTCTGGAAGGGATGAAGGGCTCTAATCTGCTGGCATTCACTGATCAGAAGGAGATTGGCTGGAACATATAGCCGCATGCCTAGACTCATTTGTAATTTCAACTGGGATTTGTCTTTCCCCAAAATATCTGTTTGAGGTCATCCCCAAGGAGGTCTCCATTTGTTCAGCTGTTGTCTAGTAAACAGAGGAAACTCAAAATTCAGCTTTTCATTTTCCATCTAGAGCAGCACAATGCACTAGAACTTTCTGCGATGGTAGAAAGGTCCTATATCTGTGCTGCCCAAGATGGTGGCCGCTAGCTGCATGTGGCTATTGAGCATTTAAGATGGGGCTGAGGAACTGAAGTTTTCTTTTTATATGATTTAAATTAAATTAAACTTTAATGGGACAGCACAGGTCTGGAGGAACCCCTGCAACTCCAGATGATTCTGGGGGCCCAACGTCCTTGTAGACTCTGGCCTGGAAAGGGCCCTTGGCACTTGGTGTCGCATCTGTATGCGGACCTCATGGAGCCACCGTGGTGCCCCAGGCAATGCTCTGCACGCCACGCAGCAGATGTGTCACACGCTGGCAGCTCCCTGGATAAACAGCCCCGTCTCTCGTCTCTTTCAAGTTGGGGGCCTGGTGGGAGCCGTTTTCTGTGACTCTTGAGTAGCTGAGTAACAGAGCCTGGAAAAGGATGAGTCACGTGCAAACATCTTCTAGGGTTGGAACAAAGATCTAGAACCACAATTCTGAGAATTCTGCCAGCATCCCAAAAGGGGGGTGCCCCAAATGAGCCAACTGGCAAATTCAAATTCTCTTGTTGATTTCTGATTTTTTTTTTTTTTCCCCCACAATGGAAAGCCTGTCTGCAAGAAAGGTGGTCATCCAGGCAGAAGGCTTGGTTTTTTCCTTTTTTGACAAGAGATAATTACTGTGGGCTTGATCAGGCATCCAGAGTACTGGAGCAAATAAATTGTGCGGTGGCCAGTGAGGGAGGGGCCCGGCTGCTAATGGAAGCGGCGGCTGGGTCATCTCAACGTAATGTGGCTTGATGGAGCGCCCGCGTGGGTCTGCTGTAATGTGCTATTGATATGCAGCCAGCCAGTTTCCCCCATGTGGCTGGGGCTGTGAACCGCTGGAGCAGAGCTGGGCTGCACAGCAGTAAATGAAGAGGAAAATTGAAGTAATGTTGTATTATAAATTTATGATTTCATCTGCCCGACCCAGAGGATGTTCGGCGATGGGGGGGTGGGGCTTGGTTTTTTCCTTTTTTGACAAGAGATAATTACTGTGGGCTTGATCAGGCATCCAGAGTACTGGAGCAAATAAATTGTGCGGTGGCCAGTGAGGGAGGGGCCCGGCTGCTAATGGAAGCGGCGGCTGGGTCATCTCAACGTAATGTGGCTTGATGGAGCGCCCGCGTGGGTCTGCTGTAATGTGCTATTGATATGCAGCCAGCCAGTTTCCCCCATGTGGCTGGGGCTGTGAACCGCTGGAGCAGAGCTGGGCTGCACAGCAGTAAATGAAGAGGAAAATTGAAGTAATGTTGTATTATAAATTTATGATTTCATCTGCCCGACCCAGAGGATGTTCGGCGATGGGGGGGTGGAGATAAGATCCCCCACTCGGGCAGGTGCCAAATTCTCATCTTTGTTGAACAGGAGACAATTTTGACATGCCTGGGAAGATTGGGGTGAGGCCCCAAACTGGGGTGAACTTGACCATGCTTTTCCTCATTCCTGGTGAAGACTTGCAAGTGTGCCAGGAAGTAGGCAGTTACAATGGAATCATACTGGTGACTCGAATCAGGGAGGGACTGGGCGTTCCACCACCCTCCACCCCACCCACCCTGAGGGAGTCTCGAAGGTGACACATGGGCTTAGGTTTTTGCGGTCACGTTAACACTAAAGTATTTAAGACCCCCAGCACTGAAGTTAGAGGCAAAGGAGTCATTTTTCACTAGGAAAGCCCTTGGGCAGCAGTGATTTGGCTGTTTGCATATAATTCATTAATCAATATTGTTGAAATCATGGTAAGAAGTCTATTGCTGAAAGATCTGATTTGATAGCAGGTGATTAATTTGGCGGAGAATTGGGCTGGCCAGCCATGAGATAAATACCAAGGAAGGAGCCAGCATGTGTGTGTCCACTTAAGGCACCCGAGTCCCCGTCTCTGTCGCTATACTTTGTCCCTCTGTCTCTCTTTCCCCGTTGGGTGCCAGAGCTCAGCGACTCACTGGGGTCTGTTCCTCTGCAGTCAGGACAAAGCCGCCAGGTCATCCTGGTTGGTCTGGGCATCCCTCTGTCAGCAAGGCACCAAGTGCTGGGAAATAAACTCATGCAGAAAGAGCAAAGCAGCAAGACCCTTGTGGGGTGTAAGCAGATCAACTGGCCAGTGAGCCGTGACTGCAAATTTGGAAAGGCTCTGACCGAAGCGAGGGAAAGGAGCCACAGCTGGTCTCTGTTGAGAATTGGGGCCCATCAGCACTCCAGGGGACCTGCAAAGCTTTCTACAGATGGCAAGACTCAAGCTCCCAGAAGGAAGGGAAGAACCCCGATGACGTGGCCTTGGGCCAGAGGCAGGGCTGGAACCCATCTCCTGATGTCTGGTCCAGCAAACTTCTGTCTTAGGTCTGATGACAGATCTTCTGGTCAAGGTGAAAGCTGTGACACCAACAAGCAGAGGAGAGTGAGGGAGGGTGGGTCCCATTTCTGGACCCCCTGCAGCATAAAAGCGCTATGAACAGGCAGCAGGAAGACCCGCAAACTGTAGCTCGTGATGCTGCACCCAAGCTGGAATTTAGTGAATGATCTTGGTGTTCAGCCATCACCTGCAGGGTCAGAAAATGCTTGTGACATGTGAGAATCCACCTTGGAAGTGGATGATGAGACCCCAGAGCCTGGGTTTAGGGTGTTTAAGTTGCTGTATGGAGCCACAAGGATACATGTGGAAAGCCGCCACTTATGGGCCTTATGGTTGGAGGGCGTGGAGACTGTCCTAAACCTGCCCATCAAAACGCTTTCTACTAGCGTTCTGGTGACAAAGCAACAGAAATAACTCCGGCTGCTATAGACAGTAAAAGAGATTATTGGAAGGGGCTTGGGCAACGGACAGAGGTGCACGGAAGGCTGGGGAACAAGCAGGAACTGGGGAGCTGGGCGGTCAGCCACAGCCCCACCAAGGGACAACCCAGGAATGACCTGGTTAGGGGGCCACTGTTGCCACCAATGGACCCCGGGCTCTGCTGCCGACGCCAGAATAGATTCTGAACCGTCCGCCCTCCTCTGCCCCACTGGCACCCGGAGAAGACTTGCACTGGCCCAGCCCGGGTTCACTCACAGTCTGCTTCCCAGCTGCCAGGCTCAGCAAGAGCAGGAGGGAGGCCTTTCTGCTTCCACGATGGGAGGCAGGCCCGTCTCCAAGACTCCGACCAGAGAAGGGGGTTCAGGTGCTGGGCAGCCGAAAACAGCCACAGGCGTCCCGCTCAGAGGTCAAAGCAAAGGTCAGGCTGGCAATGGTGGTGGTGGTAAGGTAGGTGGCAGGCTGGCCAGGGTGGTATCTTAAGAGCGCGAATGGACTGAGTTTCTTCTATATTGAGCGGAGGGAAGCAGAGGGAGCCTGGCAGGCTGGGAACGGGGCAGCCATGGGTCGGCTATGGCCAGTGGAATTTCCATCCAAGAAGAGGCTACCCCAGCCTTCTTTGTAGCCGAACTCAAGAAGTCGGGACGTGAGGAGTGAGGGTCCGAGTGGGCACCACGAAGGGCAGGGAGCTGCAGTGGCATCTCATGGGGGGTTGGTAACTGGTAACTGATCGGAGACGACCACAGGGACGCCAGAACTTGCCAGTACTTTCCTCTGCACCCCATGCCCAGTCCAGCAGCGGTTTCCACAGACACCCCTCGGTTAGCCAGCACCCCCAGGTAATCTGCTGAGACGGGTGCCTGGAAGGAGCGTGCTTGCTGGGAAATGCCTGTTGAGGCTTTGGGTTCATGCTGTGGTGCACATTTAGCACAGCCAGGCCCTCCCTGTTCTCCCAGGGCCTTGGGAAGATACGGTGGAGTGTCCCTGCTTGGACGTGGCTTGGTCCCTGCGTCCCCCGGGCCATGGCTCGCTGGGCCCAGTGTTTTTCCAGAGGCACAGAGTCAGCCCCGAGTTTTGCCCCTAGACTGTGACCCCACCCCGCGTTCCTTACGCTCTGTCCATGGTGCTGGCGCAGGACTTTAATCTCCTACTGTCAATAGCCTTAAGGTAAAGTACATACAGGGTAAGCTCTGCAAATGTCAGCGCCCGGCGCGGGCCGAGGGTCTGGGGCTAACCTGTGGCATTTACTCTGTAGGTTCAAGAAAGTGCGTGGGCTTTGGGGGTCTCTCGGCCCAAATACGGACTAATCACCAGCAGGCTAACAGCAGTGCCCCAGCCACGGGCGAGGGGTGACCCAGGCCCTGGGTAAAGACCCCCACGGGAGACCAGTAATTTTGTGGAGGAAAATAACTCGGACTGTGTCTCACTCCCGCCCTCCCTCGGACTCCCCCAACCTGAAGCAGTTGCCCTAACCGACGTGGTCTTTCTCTCTGTGTTCAAGGCTACCCCAACTTTGTGGCAACCTATGGCCGCGGCTACCCTGGATTTGCTCCTAGCTATGGCTATCAGTTCCCAGGTGAGTGGCTTTGTCTCCCAGGGCTTTGGGGACATGGGAGGTGAGCTGCATCGGGGGGAGGGGGACCCCTAAGGAGAACCAACTCATGCATACATCCATTCACGAAATGACCTACAGGTGCTAAGTTCCAGATCCACTTGACCTTGTATCCAGGTCAGGGTGCAGCCCAGTTTCTGATGAACTGAGGTATTTCGCTGGTTGAGAGCGGCTTGTGGGGGGGAAGGCAAAGGACCAAGACAGGAGCCCTACCTCTGCTTGCCCTCCCTTTTCTGAAACCTCTTCCAGGTTCTCTCTCCCTGGGGAGGGGACTGAACTTGGGGCCCAGGGTTTTCTGTCACCCTGCGCCTCCCCAGCATTCACGTGCCTTGCTATCTAGACCTCACCTTCCTTCCTCCCCTCGTCCGGCTCCGGTGCCCTTCTGACATGTGTGTTGGGTGTGCTCTTGGGTTTGGGTCTCCTCTCTGTCCTGAGTGATGGTGGCGGGGGGTTGGTTAGAGTCTCCCTTCCCTCCATGTGGGCTTCAGAGACTCAAGGCAGAGCGCCCAGTGATACCCACTCACGTGCCCAGGCTGCTCTAGCTCCCATGTAACCGGGAGGCCTGGGACTCTCACCTGTGGGGCAGCGGGGGCCGTGGTCCTGCAGGGATGGGGGAGGGGCGTGAAGGAAGTGATGTTTTATGGGGCTTGCTTTTCGCTAGAAGGGGGAAAGCCAGCCTTCCCCAGACCTGGAGTACAGCAAGAATGTTTTGGGGTGCTCGGGGGTGTCTGTGTTCTAAGGACAGCTGGGGTGTGTAGAGTGGATGCTAGGAGCAGAGTTCTGCCCTCTTGGCTCTGTGTCTTGGGAGGGGCCGCTAGGGAGCTGGGCTTCCACTCCTGGTTGGTCATCCTCCTAAACCCGGAGGCCTGAGCTGCAAGGCGGCAAGGCGAGCAGGACATGGCCCTGGGGGGCCGGCGCTCTGAAGGCAGTGGAGGGCAGGGCGTGCGGTGTGCGAGGGGCCGGTCCCACCTGTGCCTCAGACTGAGCTTCGGGTGGGGAAGGGGTGTGTCGGGGGAGGTCAGGAGGCATGTGGGACACTGAGAGCCATCCTCTATGGGGCACAGATCCTCAACCAGCAACAGAAGCCCTAGGCTCTTGTCCTGTCTGCCCATGGCCATAGGCAGGTCACCCAGCATCTCGGGGCCTCTCTTTCGTTTTCTGGAAATGAGGGGTTTGGGCAGGCTGGTCGCTAGCGTCCGTGCACCTTTCTGATAGCGGGGGAGGCGGAAGAGAACAGCAGGTACAGAAGCAGAAGTTCAGGTGGAGGGTTGTGTGGGGGGGGGGACTTGCCCACAAGTGTGTCCCCTGGGCTGGGTGGTTTCCCCACCAGGGTGGGCCCCTCAGCAAGCATCCTCAGCTGCCCCAAGGGAGCCCTCCGCACCGCTTCTCTGCTGCACGTGGCAGCTCAGGTGGCCACGGGCCTCTCCAAGCAGGACACCAGACACCACAAGCTGAGAAGCCAGCACCGGGCCAGGCACGGTCTGCACCTCCGCTGGATTTTCCCTCTACGGATGGGGACCCTGAAGCCTGGAGAGGTAGAAACCCTGTTCACGGGGTCACAACCAGTGAGGGGCAGGGCCAGGATTGGGACCCAGGTGGCCTGGATCTTAACTGCCATACCCCATCATCTTCCTAGCATCCGTCTGTCCAGTACAGTCACACTAGCCGCGTGCAGCTACTAAGGTTTAAATTTAATTTAAGTAAAATTAAGTAAAATGGAAAATTCGGTTCCTCGGCCACACTAGCCACGCTTCAGTTACTCAGCAGCCACGTGGCTAGTGGCTACTGTCTGTGCAGAATATAAAACGTTTCCATCGCCACATAAAGTTCTGTTGGATGGAGCTGTTCCAGAGCCTACATGAAGAGGTGTGTTATGATGAGGGGTGCTTGGTCCCCACACGCACATGCACGCGTGCACTGACTCTCCTGGAGAGACCTCGTGTGTCACCATCCCTGTTCTCCATTCCTTGCCTGTCCTGCTCAGCCCAGAAGCTGGTGGTAGTTTGGGGGAAGCCTTTCCTCTCCTTCCCTCCCCTGCCTTCCTCCCCAGGGGATAAGGAGATGTGCAGGGTCACACGTCCTGGCTCGGTGAGAGTGCCTTGCTGCTCTGTGTGCCTGAAGCCTACCTCCCTTCACAGTCAGGTTGCCATTGCCCCCTCAGTGTAGCACTAGACCCAGCAAACAGGCATCCTAACACGGTATAATTTGGGGGAGGGGTGACACAGTGGACTCCTTGCTCAGGCCCCCGTCTCATCTGAGAACCTGCCCTCGGGGCCCCGTGAGCCAGCCCAGGAAATATCTGGTTGAATTGTGTCTCAGGGACCTGCATCCTTGGGTCTGCCCTAGATAGACACGTATGCAGGACAGACAGAGATGCAAGAGTGACCAACCGAGGCTGGGTAGGATGAGATGGGATCCCCCACGTGCCTAGCCCTTCACCACAAGCCAGGGCTTTGGGAACAGAGCCGGTGGGGGGGGGGTGGTGGTAAAGGGACATGGAATGGGCTTGGGGTGACCCTGCCCCTGGAGGAGTGGCCTCCTGTGGAAAGGTAGCTCTGTCTGCTGTCCAGGAGCCTCCAGCAGCCGAGGATTCTAGCACACAGAGCCCAGGTAGGCCCCTGCGGTTTTCCAGACTCCTCCTGGAGCCTCGGCCTCAGGGGCAGGGAAGCTTTGCAGTGTTCTGACGTGAGTCTCTTGCCCTGTGCCAGTAAGGAATGTCTTCAGTGGATCTGGCCAAGGGGGCTGGGGTGCAGAGGGGTGACCCCGGGGGAGGGCAACCCAACTCTGCCCTCTCGTTGCCCCTGTCAGGGTGGCTCTGCTGACCGCCTCCCCATGCCTGTGAGTCAGCGACGTCAGCACAGCTGGTCTCGTCACCACCAAGCTGCCCTGGTGTCTATTCTTCATGGTCCTCCTTTTCCATGTTCTCAGTGGTGCCCACTTCACCCGCTGCCCACCTCGTCTCTCTTGTGATGCGTGTACCTCCCGCACCCCTCCCAGCCCTTCCTGAATCCATCCTGTGGGGTGATGCAAGGTAGCTAAGAGCAGCGGAAGGACACCCCCCGTCCTGGAGGGCTGCTGAGGGCTGCGTCCTGTGTGTCCTCACCACACGCCGAGCATCCCGCATCCCCTGCAGGAAGGTGCTGCCTCTTCACCTGAGTTGGCCCTTTCTGTGAATCCCCATCTCATCTGCTGGTGTCCCTGCTTTACCTGTGTGACCTGGGCTTGCTGCAGACCTTTCTGGTTGCACGGTTGGTGTTAAGGAATGCCTGTCTCTGCCCACCTTTAGGCTTCTATGACAGTAAAGGAGAGCTGCTCCAATAAGGGGGGCCACGGGCTTCAGATAACTGTTCGAGTGGGAGTAGCTCTCTTCCAGAAGGACCGAGTGGCGATCAGCCACCGTGGACGTGGCTCATTCTTCCCAAGTCCAGATGGTCCACCGCGTGCCCCTTACCCCCAGCCCAGCCCTCGTGGGTCGGTGTGGGGACTGGACTTATTACGATCCTGATCGATGGTCTCCTCTCTTTCTCCCCCTCTGGACCCTCATTTCAGTTCAATCTGTTAATTTCTGTTCTTATTTCACTTTGCAGACTATTTGCCGATTTCACAAGACATAATTTTTATCAACTAGCTCTTAAGAGAGGCATAACAAATTGGGGTTTGCTACGATTACTAGAGAGAGGACACAGTCCCTGCCTGGGCCACCCCGCTGCTGTCGGTGCCCACTGAACACTGTCGTAGCTGCCTGTTGGAACGGATGTCCTTTTTCTCATTTTTAATTCTTGGAAAAGACTCCTGTTCTCAATGCTTCCTTCAGTTTTTTAAAAGCAATTTTATTCTCCAGTCCCCTCCCAGTTTGCTTCTCGTATGCACTGTGGACACCTCCCCACGTATTCCACCTGCCACCCTCCCAGAATGTAATGGGGCCAGAGGGAAACTTCTCACAAACTTTGTAGAGCCTTCCTCAAGGGAATCTAGAAAGAAGGCCTCAAATTATTTTAAATAATTACCAAATAGGCTTGTTGGGTCATTTCATGGGTGAGCTTTTAAGTGCTGGAGCCCACAGGGGTTGGGAATATGTGACTTGGAGCACCTATGTCCTATGGCGGACAGAACCAGAAGTGAACACAAACACACACACACACACACACACACACACACACACAGAGAGAGAGAGAGAGAGAGAGAGAGAGAGAGAGAGAGAGAGAGAGAGAGAGACTATTCTATAAATACTAATGTGAACGATCTAATCTGGAAGCAAAATTATATAAACATTATCTGGTTGCCTTTGTCTTTGGGGGCCAGTCCCTCAGTGGTTGTTGCTATAATAACGCACATCTGTCTTCGGGAAGGGACAGTGGAGGCACCCAGGTGCTGCCACATCTCAGGCCCTGTGGGCACCGATCCACACTGGGTCCCTCTT